TCGAACTCGGCTCTCCGATTTTTCATCCCGGGCCTATATCCATTACACCGAAGTGCAATATCACAACCCAAATCCTTGAAAAAGAAATGGTTGCCTGGCGCTTTTACTATTGAGCTGTATCCAGTTTACAAGTGAATAAAATAGTATTTATCCCGTGATGTGACACAAGGTCGGGTTTAATGTGGGACACCTGAGAACGTAAATCCGGGCCAGGGAGAAAAATTGACCAACCTCCGCAACCATCACTACCGATCCTCCCTCTCTAATGCAATGAGGGGGGTACAGCATATTTCCCCCCTCCGCAGCTGCGTCTCTGTCCGCAGACAACTTAGTTGTACTCTGCCCGGAGACAGATTCGCAACTGTGAGAGGATAAACCTTACCAACATGTGCCAGGTAAATATCGATATTTACTACGTCTCCCTATTGAGACGTGATGTGACATATGGTCAGATTTATTGTGGGGAACCCGAGCGCGTACACTCAGGCCAAGGACAAAAATTTCCCGAGCACCCGCAACCGTCGATTGCGGTGGCCTCGGTAGCGAGCCCCGATACTTCTCTCCATGAGAGGGTGCAGCCGTGAGCAGCTGTTCCCCAGAGCTGGGCACCACAAAGTAGTTGTGCCTCTGTCCTTGGACGAAGCTGCAACTGAGTCGCACTCTACCCGAAGACAGAGACGCAACTGAGAGATAATAAATCCTACTCGATATGTGCCAGATAAGTAGATATTTACTTGACCCCGCCCCCCACCGAGTCAGGTTGTGACACAAGGTCAGTTTTTAACGTGGGGACTCGAATGTATTCCCTCTGGCCGCTGGTCCAAACTGGTCTTAGCTGGTCATAGCTTGTTCAAGCTGGTCAAAGCTGGTCAAAGCTAGGCATAGCTGGTCTTGGCTTGTTCTAACTGGTCCAGGCCGGAGCCGGTCCAAAATAGTCCTAACCGTGATACCACCAGCCCAGGGACGAGCCCTGTGCCAGGTAAGTATAGATATTTACTTGACTCCCACAAGGTCAAGATGTGACACAAGGTCGATTAACGTAGGAAACCCGAGTGTTTCCACTCAAAGGCCACTGGTCAAAATTGGTCATAACATGTCCAAGCTGGTCAGAGCTTAGTCAAAGCTGGTCATGACTTGTCCTAGCAAGTCCAGGCCGGAGCCAGTCCAAGCTAGTCGAAGCCTTGATCGAATCTCAGCCATAGGCCAAGAAACGATCCAATATTTGTCAAAACCCCCAGCATAACGCCAGGTAAGTATATGAATAAAGTGTCATCAACTTAGTTTATGAGAGAAAATAAAGGAGAAACATTGGATGGCCCCAATCTCCAAGAAGGAGAGATCTCGTTCTGCTCAAGTCAGAAAAGAGATGAGAGTCGCTTGTTTAAAGAAGTTTTAAGGTAAAACAAATCCTGCTGCCTATTGAATGGCCTTCTCTTTCACTAAATGAACATAAATGTAACTTATGATTCTTACAGTGGACTAACACAAAAGACAAAGTGGATTTAAATTCTGTAGTTGTATTAAGATTAATATTAATGTAAAACATACCTTAAAAAAGAATTCTCCAGTTCTTGCTAGCCTAAATTTGTTTGTCCATAATGAAAGCGAAACAGTGGTTGATTGTCTATTTGTTGATTCGTTATGGTCAAGCAAGACAGTCGAAAATAATCGACTCGATAAAGAAAGAAAAACAGATCTATGTTTATTTTTTAAAATATTTAACAAATTAAAACTTCATATATATAATAAAATCCTTCAAACCCTAACGCAGAAAGCCAATGGACGCCACCCTAACAGCCTGACAGTCGATCCCTCACTCTAGAACTAGTAATGCGGTCGAATTTAGTTCTACTTTAGTTTTCTCTAAAAGTTGCAGAATAGGATAGCAAAGAAATTTTGTGGCGAGTTGTTGTCGACTAAATCGGCTACCTTGTGAAGGGCAGTCTTGGAGATCATGCCGCTAACAGATTTCGAATGTCAGTGGACCGCAATAAATAAAACCAAGATTTGATTAGAAAATGAATCGTCGATGATGATTGACGCACATAGTTACAAATATGCGAATGTGTGGATAATGGTCAACCACAAGTCAATCTGACGTCGAGTGAGGGTGGCCGAATCTTACCGTCGTTGGTACGGTTACCAAACACGTCCGAACTCAATGACTGGGAGGTGAAAAGAGAATGATAGTGTCCTTTCCGGAAGTCGGGTCATAAAATTCACACGTGACCGGAAATCCTTTTTGGTATCATTTTCCCTTTTGCATTATGGGAAAATAAAATTCTTTATTATTTATCATTATTTCATTTATCAGTTTATTTTTATTCTCCCACAACTTCACTCCCCTTCAAATGGGGCGAAAGAGGGTGGTTCTTTTTCATGACGTGAGCGACCATGGCTCTCCATAATTTCCTGTCCTTTGTAGCCCTTAATAAATTTTGTCTCTTTTTTTGTATCTCCTAATTCCTGTTCTATCAACTATTTGCACAAGCTTGTTAGGTCGGATAGGCACTCCTTTTCTCTGTCTCTTTTGCATTCATTATGTCCTGTGAGTGTCAAATCTCCAATCCTTCTTTCCTCATTATGTCTTCTAGAAATCTTAACCGTCTCTTTTTTATGATAAATATAAACTTCCTTTATGTTTTCATTTTCTCTAAATCTCTGTCTTTACTCACCTGTTCAGCCCATGATATTCTCAGCATCCTTCTGCAGAATCACATTTCTTTTGCCTTGAGTCTCTTCTGAATTTCTAATGAGATGATCCAGCATTCACTGTCGTACAGGAATACCAATATTTATATAACAGTTAAGTAATGATAATTTCCGGTTTCTTAATACTTTGCTCAGATTTTGCATGTCATTTTTCGCTATCTCAATGTGACTTCTGATTTTAGTGTCGCTTTTTCCGTTCGCTATTTAAAAAAAAAAGTACTTAATGTACTTACTTGATTTTGGTATCTACAATTTGTTATTCGCAAATTGGGCCGTTTCATTTGCAGACAACTATACGTTCTGTCTATTTAGAATTGATTTTTACTACTTTACGACTTCCTGTAGTTTTTTTTCTTTCTTCTTTTTTTGTGTGTGTGTCTTCTATTAACACTGTGGCTTCTGCATATCAAATCTGTCTATATTTCTGAGATGAGGTATTGTAACTATTTTTATTATTTATATTCGGACTCTTGAACTCGTCCTTACTGTCACATTCCCGACCTTTCAGCCGCTGTACGCTCCGGTCTTCTTCAACAAATATTACCTGAAGAATGTCGTGAATGTGACAGTACTCCTCCCCTGATTTTGTTTAGCGGCCTATCAAATTCTATGAGTTATTTCATGCTGAAATCTAAATATGGTGAACAAAATCATGTGGCTTCAACTACAGATAAAATATATTGTTATTCATTTTGTTATAAAATATATTGTTGGTAATTCTGCTATAAGTAGTTATTGTTGGTAATTCTGTTATAAATTGGTATTGTTAGTAATTTTACTATAAATAAGTATTGTTGGTAATCTTATAAATATGTTTTGGTGGTAATTATACTATAAATGGGTATTGTTAGTAATTTTACTATAAATAGTTATTGTTGGTAATCTTTTCTAGAAATAGGTATTTTTGATAACCTTATTATAAATAAATATTGTTGGTCATAATTTTATATACAAATGTGTTGCTGGTATTTTTACTTCAAAAAGGTATACCGATACCTTTATAGTCCTTTGTTTTTTGTTTTTTTAGTCCACTATTTGCACATACCTGGGACCCTAACAGGTGCTCCCACCCGGGTCGGGGTGAATCAATGTTTCATTAAAGATGAAGGCAACAGTCTGAACAATGTAAATAGTTCATAGCTAATGTTGTTAAGATTGTGACCGCCAATAATGAGTCATTTTGGGACTTCTAATTCCCTCAGCATTGCTTTACGGTAAATGTTAAATAAATCCGTGTAAAAGACACATAGTTGTCATACGGCCCTTTCTATTTTTCTAACTAAAAATGGATTAAGAAATAGAAAATATCTTTAGAAACAAAGCAAAGAGTACTGAATTACTATGTAATACGTAATCATTCCATATGACAGTGAATGTTGAACAATTTCTTCACAGATGAAGAAGAGACTTGAGCTAACATAGATGTGTTTCTATAGAAGGATTCTGATAATTCCATAGACGGAACAACGCAGCAATTTTGATTAAAACGAGAACTAAAATGATACATACAATCAGAAATAGAATGTTGAAATTTCTAGGACACATAATGAAGAAAGAGGGCTTGGAAAATTGAACACTCACAGGACAGACTGAAGGCAAGTGGAGCAGAGAAAAATCTCGAGTAATCTACCTAACGAGATTCTGCGAATGATGACAGAAAGAGGATAAAGAGGAATGGCAATGTGCCAAACGCTACATAGAACTACAAGAAAGAGGAAATCGTGGAGAGGCGTGATCACCAACGGCACATAATAGCTTACATCTGTTATTTGAAATGTTCACAGTGGTAGGATCTCAGACGTTGATTTCTCACAATTAACACTGCGTTCTTTTGGGAGATCAGTGTTTATGAGGAAGATTTTGTTGATTTTGTTTAGCGGCATATTAACACCTCTATGGGTTACTTAATGCCAAAATCTATATATTTTATTCATTATTTTATACTTTCAGGTTAAAAATGTATGTTTTTTTTTATATATAATTTGTAGATCATAAAATATGTTGCTGGTAATTTCACTATACAAATGTATTGCTAGTAATTTTACTATAAAATGTGTTGTTATTTTTTTTATTTTATTTTTTGATTTTTTGGTGGCAGTCACTATTTGCCCATGGCTGGTCAGGGAGAACCTGTGAACAACAGGAATTAAGAAGTGGTTCCACCCTTCTCAAGACTTCCAATCTCCCGATCAGAAACCTTGCTACCGGATGCGGTTTATCGTCATACCAAGGACGATACAAGGAAGAGGAACAGGCATGAACAAAAGGCAAAGAGCGTCGAATACTACTTAAAGTTCAATTAGTGAATTACTTATTTGAGAAAAGAGAAAGAAAGAAGTACAAACACAAAGAAAGAAAGAATAATCAACAGGGAAAGAAACAAAGAAAGAGAGAATGTTTGTTATTGATAAGGAATAATAAATTGAGTTAACACAGCCGGAATGAAAGAGAGAAGCGACTTCAAAAATTGAGACAACCGATTGGTTGAGAAATCTGTTTGGCATTTGACAGAAAATCGGATGCCAAACATTTACCAGAATATTCTGTCTGCAAGACTAGGAAGCAGATTATGCCAAGTTGAATGATCTTTTGACGTCAACAAGTTCAGATTCTGAAAATGTGCCAAATTCTCGCACTATCTTTGCCAATACTACACAGAAATACAGCCTCTTGGATTATTTTAACACAAGTTTCATCTTATCGTTCATAATAAGCACATCACGACACGTTACATCATCATAGATAAGTAAATGTGTCAGTTGTTGTCTGTACGTATGGACATTTTGAAAACGGCTGTATTAAAGTGTTCTATACGCAATCCAAAAATTGAACGTGCAGAGCTTTAAATATTAAAAAGTTAAATATCCCATACATACCTGCTACAATTGTTTTAACCATTACAGTCTCATCAGGCGGTAGATGCTAGTTGCTCAAGTTATGGATAAACTCAACACCTTATTCAAAAAATGGAAAAAAATAATAAAAAAAGTTAAACAAACAGACCTTGTAGGACCTCTTTAATCAGACATCTTTGAATATATATATATATATATATATATATATATATATATATATATATAGAGAGAGATAGAGATAGATAGATGAATAGATGAATAGATAATGAACAGACATAGGCAGACAGAACAGACAGACGGATAGATAGATAGATAGATAGATAGATAGATAGATAGATAGATATGAATGATAATGAACAGACATGGGCAGACAGACAGACAGACGGATAGATAGATAGATAGATAGATAGATAGATAGATAGATAATGAACAGACTTATGGTGGTTTCACAGTGGGGCTTGTATTTGTACTAAGTCGGTCCTAAAATAGGTTCGACGCTAAAAAACGTTAGGAACTTGATATAATCGGTAATGACAGCAGAGAAATCTAGTGGGGGTTGCTGATACTTTATTATCCGACTAACGGTCATCCGGCATCGACTGACTGACCGAACCACTGAGCGACTCCTACTACCCCTACTTATTATAGGTAGGAGAGTCTATTAACTATAGAATAGGTGTGTTCACTATAACACAGACATATGATAGATAGATAGATAGATAGATAGATAGATAGATGAATGAATGGATAGATAATAATGAACAGACATAGGCAGATAGATAGATAGATAGATAGATAGATAGATAGATAGATAGATAGATAATAAAAAAGTCATTGGCAGATAGATAGATAGATAGATAGACAGACAGACAGACAGATAGATAGATAGATAGATAGATAGATAGATTATTTAGTCAGCTTAAACTAGTAGTACAGAAATGCAGAGTAGAAGGGCAGGCTATCTTTCGCACATTTCTTGGCTGATACTTATTATTATACAAAATAAACATTCTTTTTTATTGTGCGACTTCTTTCCGAATAACCGTTACCCATGACGTCAACGTAGGCTATTTCAAACTTACAGCTTTCAAACTCACAGTTCATTCACAATTGCTAATTTGTGCTCGAAGTTATGGGTAAACTCAACACCTTATCCGTAACAATGGAAAAATAATAAAAAGTGAAACAAACAGAGCTTTTAGGTTCTCTTTAATCAGACATCTTTGAATATGTATTTCTTTATTATTATTATTATTATTATTATTCATTTTTCGGATAAAGTGTTGTGTTTATTCATAACTTCGAGCACAAATTCGAAATTGTGAATAAACTGTTCAAAGTTCATATTTTGTTATTTTTGTTCAAATAATTTTGACTTTCGCAGTCATTTTCAAGAACCAATGTGCTATCTATGTGGTAGTTAGAATTTCTTTGTCTGCATCCTGCTATTCTTTAGGAAGCTGAACGTTTGAAATGATCTTACGTGACGTCATGTGTAACGGTTATTGGAAACGAGGTTGCACGTAAAAAATACGATTTATCTATTTTATTTTATTTTTATTTTTATTTTTGATTTTTGTATAATACTAATATAATATATGGGCACATTAATTATATCATACGCACTTCAAGATACCGTATTCCGTGATGTATATTTTATTTCATGTGGCCTGTTTATTTTGTATAGTAATAGCTTTTAGTGTTTTGAGTTTTTCCTTGCATTGGGTGCAGTACAGTATTTTAGTGTTATTTACTAATATTTGTCTTATATTGATAGTTGTACTTTAGTTGTTCATAATGTGCTGGTTAATGTGTTCACGGATTTCACTGAGTTTCGACAGCTGCCAGATCAGGCTACGGGAGAGTGTAGTGCATGTGTGCCCAATGTAAGTATTTAATGCTGTCTTTTGATTATTAGTGTTGGACATACAATCTTTCAGCGAAGGCTGCGGCGGGTACGTAAGAATTCATAGACAACCGGTGTTCTTGGAAATAATTAAATTAGATGTTTTAAACTTTTTTGTGCAGCATATAAACATTAGGTGTTGGTGTAATGGTTAGCAAGCTTGTCTCGCTAAAACAGTTATGAGGGAATAGTGAGTTCGATCCTCACTGGGTGTCCCCTAATTTCGGCCTAGTAACACAACTAAGCTACGCTTAGAAAAAATTTTGGGCACCTCGACGTGGTGTAATGGTCAGCAAGCTTGTCTCGCTAGAACAATTACGACTGAGTAGTGAGTTCAATCCTCACTGGGCGCCCCATGATTTCAGGCTTGTGCCAAATCTAAGCTATGTTTAGAAAATACCCTGGACACCTTGAGGCGGTGTAATAGTTAGCAAGCTTGTCCCACTAAAACAAAAACGAATGAATACTGAGTTCGATCCTCACTCGGTGCCCTATACTTTCGGCCTTGTGCCACATCTAAGCTATGCTTGGAAAAATATTATAAATATTAGGTGTTTGTTAGGATTATTCAGAAATATGTACCGGTGAATTATATTTTAATTGCTTTTTCGCACTGCTTATAATCAGTGTGCATTTGGTCATGATAGAATTATTCAGGAGTGGTGGGGGAGGGTCTGGCGTTATTCTTTTTTTAAATTTCGTTAAGGCTAATATTATTTGCTGGCCGACGACGTTGTTAGGGAAATTATTGTTTATTAGGGTTTGTTTAATATCGCTAAGTTGCAAGTTTGAGCCAACATGATCAGTTTTTTTTTTTTTTAAAACATTTCACTCCAAGCAAGGCAATAAAGTCACTAAGACACAGGGAAGTTACTGAGTGTGAAAGAATATAAGAAACAGGAAAAAAAAAAACATAATTAAAAAGCGAGAACACACGGGAGGTCAAGAAGGACAAAGGAAAACAACGCATAACATACTTCGTGAGTTTGAGCAAATATGGATGGCGGAACAAGGCTTTGGAGAATTAACGGAAAGACAAAGTTTATAAAGAATTACAATAGAATGAAAGTTGAAAATAATCGATGGAAGCTCTTCACAGTATCTAGTTCTTTGTAGCTTTAAGTAACGTTTGTCATTTGACCATCCCTGTCCTTCCGTCCATTTACATAAACTCCTTAGATTATTCGCCGTTTTTCTTTCTTGCCTTCCTTATACCCTGTGAGTATTAACTTTTCCAAGCCTTCTTTCTTAGTTATGTTCCTCAGAAGTTTCAAACTCTTTCGGTTTGTAGGAGGCTGTTATGTTCCCATATTCCTTAAAACTTTCTCGTTACTCACACGCCGTGTCTATGGTATTCCCAGCGTCCTTCTACAGAACTACCTCATTCTTGCGGCAGAGATCTGGTTCTACAGAAGGATGCTGAGAACATCATGGGTGGAACGTCTGAGCAAGGCGAAAGTTTGTCTCTTTTGCTAACAACCATCAATTTTACCTGTAAAGCTGAAAATAGACGCTCCAAGGTAATTATAAAATGAAGTTATTTTAAATTCTCTTTTGATGTTAAATAGAGTGTGTGCTTTTTTTTTATTTTATTTAATAAAATGGAATAAATTATTTATTAAAATACTTAATAATATTGCCAATTTTCAATCTTTCTCTCATGTCTGACGGCGTGCTCTGCATACAGTAATAAATATTTAGTTTAGTTGAAGGCTATCGTCGAATTTTCAAATTGTGTATTTCCCCTACACATACATACATTGATTGTTATAGATATAAATAATTTTTCTCCATTTTCACTCAGAACCTTATCATTTTCCTAAACGCCACCCAGTGCATAATTGTATAAGGTAAATTAATCATGGCTGCCTTTTAACCACTTTTAGTTCTCGAATCTCCAGCGGCTTTCGTTCCTTCACCTTTGTTGCTAATTGCCGACTGCTACTTCAAGCCAACATTTATTAAATGACAAATCTACAGGGAGACTGATTCTACGCGAATGAGTAGTCAGCTATTTCTCAAAAAACCCCCAAGACAAGAACATCCTTTACTTATAACTTTCTTTGTCTTCATTTTGTTTACTCTTCCTTCGTTGACATTTTTTGTTTATTTTGTATTCCTACACTCTCTTTTTTTTTTCTCTCATCATTTTTGTTCTTTGCACTTTTAAAAAAGATTTAGTTTTTTTTTTCTCCTCCTGTTTCTCCTCCTTGAAATACGACTTATTCCCCCTCCACCCCACAACAACGCACTTTTTTTTTTCTTCGCAGGCTTCTGCAAATGGCACATTATTATATATATATTTTATTCTTTCAAAGTTTCTTTTTTTCCTTTAGAATTTCCTTTTTATTCACTTCTGAAATTATTTCTTAGCATGTTTCAATGTTACTTTCTTTCTCATTTATATTTGGTCTTATTTTCTTTTTCTTCTTCTTTCTTTGTATGTTTCCTTCGATTTTCTCGTTCTGTGAATTTTTCTTCTACTTTTTGCTTTGTTTCATTCCATGTTTCTTTGATTCTCCTTCTCGTTGTCCATTACAGGTCTCTTCGAGTTCTTATTCTCCTTCTTCTTCTTTTTCTCCTCCTCCTTGTTGTTGTTGTTCTTCTTCTTCTTCTCCTTCTTCTTGTTTTTCTCCTCCTCCTTGTTGTTGTTGTTGTTCTTCTTCTTCTCCTTCTTCTTGTTTTTCTCCTCCTCCTTGTTGTTGTTGTTGTTGTTGTTGTTCTTCTCCTTCTTCTTGTTTTTCTCCTCCTCCTTGTTGTTGTTCTTCTTCTTCTTCTCCTTCTTCTTGTTTTTCTCCTCCTCCTTGTTGTTGTTGTTGTTGTTGTTCTTCTCCTTCTTCTTGTTTTTCTCCTCCTCCTTGTTGTTGTTGTTGTTGTTGTTGTTCTTCTTCTTCTTGTTTTTCTCCTCCTCCTTGTTGTTGTTGTTCTTCTTCTTCTTCTTCTTCTTCTTCATGTTTTTTTGTTCTTGTTTTTCTTGTTCTTGTTTTCTTTGCTGTTGTTGTTGTTCTTCTTCTTCTTCTTCTTCTTCTTCTTATTATTATTATTATTGTTGTTCTTCTTCTTATTATTATTATTATTATTATTGTTCTTCTTGTTTTTTGTTCTAGTTTTTCTTGTTCTTCTTGTTTTCCTTGTTGTTGTTGTCGTTCATCTTCTTCTTCTTCTTCTTCTTATTATTATTATTGTTCTTCTTGTTTTTTGTTCTAGTTTTTCTTGTTCTTCTTGTTTTCCTTGTTGTTGTTGTTCATCTTCTTCTTCTTATTATTATTATTATTATTGTTGTTCTTCTTCTTCTTGTATTTTTTGTTCTAGTTCTTCTTGTTCTTCTTGTTTTCCTTGTTGTTGTTGTTCATCTTCTTCTCATTATTATTATTATTACTATTGTTCTTGTTCTTCTTTTTCTTCTTGTTTTTCTTCTTCTTCTTCTTTGTTTCTTTCTGTCTTTTCTTTATATTATTATTGTTGCCAACTTTGGCTTTATCTGATTCTACTTCATGCTTTATTTTTAGTTTTGTTTTTCTTTTCTTTATTGTTATTGTTGCTTTTTAACTTTTTGGTGTGTTCTTTTCTATGTTTCTTTGTTTTTACTTTTCTCTTATTTACCACTGTCTTCTACGCCTTCCACTTTTTATTTTCCACTGTCTTCTATGTCTTCCTCTTTATATTTTCTACTGTCTTCTAGGCCTACCACTTTTTATTGTCAACTGTCTTCTATGTGTTCCTCTTCTTATTTTCCACTGTCTACTACGTCTTCCTCTTCTTATTTTGCACTGTCTTCTACGTCTTCTTATTATTATTTTCCACTGTTTACTACGTCTTCCTCTTCTTATTGTCCACTGTCTTCTAAGTCTTCTTATTATTATTTTCAACTGTCTTCTACGCCTTCCTCTTCTTATTTTCCATTGTCTTCTACGTCTTCCGCTTTTTATTTTCCACTGTCTTCTACGTCTTCCTCTTCTTATTTCCCACTGTCTACTACGTCTTCCTCTTCTTATTGTTCACTGACTTCTACGTCTTCTTCTTCTTATTTTCCAGTGTCTTCTACGTCTTCGGCTTTTTATTTCCCACTGTCTTCTACGTCTTCCTCTTCTTATTGTCCACTGACTTCTACGTCTTCTTATTATTATTTTCCAGTGTCTTCTACGTCTTCCGCATCTTTTTTTCCACTGTCTTCTACGTCTTCCTCTTCTTATTTTGCAATGTCTTCTACGTCTTCCTCTTCTTATTTCCCACTGTCTTCTACGTCTTCTTCTTATTATTTTCTATTGTCTTCTACGTCTTCCGCTTTTTATTGTCCACTGTCTTCTATGTGTTCCTCTTCTTATTTTCCACTGTCTACTACGCCTTCCTCTTCTTATTTCCCACTGTCTTCTATGTCTTCCTCTTTTTATTTTGAACTGTCTTCTACGTCTTCCGCTTCTTATTGTCCACTGTCTTCTACGTCTTATTATTATTATTGTCCACTGTCTTCTACGTTTTCCTCTTCTTATTTTCCATGGTCTTCTACGACTTCCGCTTTTTATTGTCCACTGACTTCTACGTCTTCTTCTTCTTATTTTCCAGTGTCTTCTACGTCTTCGGCTTTTTATTTCCCACTGTCTTCTACGTCTTCTTCTTATTATTGTCCACTGACTTCTACGTCTTATTATTATTTTCCAGTGTCTTCTACGTCTTCCGCCTCTCATTTTCCACTGTCTTCTACGTTTTCCTCTTCTTATTTTGCAATGTCTTCTACGTCTTCCTCTTCTTATTTCCCACTGTCTTCTACGTCTTCTTCTTCTTATTTTCTATTGTCTTCTACGTCTTCCGCTTTTTATTGTCCACTCTCTTCTATGTGTTCCTCTTCTTATTTTCCACTGTCTACTACGCCTTCCTCTTCTTATTTCCCACTGTCTTCTACGTCTTCTTCTTCTTATTTTCCACTGTCTTCTACGTCTTCTTATTATTATTTTCTATTGTCTTTCGTCTTCTGTCTTTTTATTCTTCCACTGTCTTCGTCTTCCTCTTTTTATTTTTTCTTCCACTGTATCTTCTTATGTCTTCCTCTTTTTTATTTTGCACTGTCTTCTATTTCCGTCTTCTATGTTTTCCTTCTTATTGTCCTGTCCTGTCCACTGTCTTCTACGTCTTATTATTATTATTGTCCACTGTCTACTACGCCTTCCTCTTCTTATTTCCCACTGTCTTCTATGTCTTCCTGTTTTTATTTTGCACTGTCTTCTACGTCTTCCGCTTCTTATTGTCCACTGTCTTCTACGTCTTATTATTATTATTGTCCACTGTCTTCTACGACTTCCTCTTCTTATTTTGCTCGGTCTTCTACGTCTTCCTCTTCTTTTTTTGCACTGTCTTCTACGTCTTCCTCTTCTTATTGTCCACTGTCTTCTACGTCTTATTATTATTATTGTCCACTGTCTACTACGCCTTCCTCTTCTTATTTCCCCTGTCTTCTTTTATTTTATGTCTTCCTTCCTCTTTTTTATTTTGTCCACTGTCTTCTCGTCTTCTTCTTCTTATTGTCCACTGTCTTCTACGTCTTATTGAACTTCTTCTATGTCTTCCTTCCCACTGTCTTCTATGTCTTCCTCTTCTGAACTGTCTTCCTTCTTCTTATTTCCACCGTCTTGTCTTCTTATTTCCATGTCTTCCTGTTTTATTTTTGAACTGTCTTCTACGTCTTCCTCCTCTTATTTCCCACTGTCTTCTATGTCTTCCTCTTTTTATTTTGAACTGTCTTCTACGTCTTCCACTTCTTATTTGCCACTGTCTTCTACGTCTTCCTCTTCTTATTGTCCACTGTCTTCTACGTCTTCTTATTATTATTGTCCACTGTCTTCTACGTCTTCCTCCTCTTACTTTCCACTGTCTTCTACGTCTTCCTCTTCTCATTTTGCACTGTCTTCTACGTCTTCCTCTTCTTATTTGCCACTGTCTTCTACGTCTTCCTCTTCTTATTGTCCACTGTCTTCTACGTCTTATTATTATTATTGTCCACTGTCTACTACGCCTTCCTCTTCTTATTTCCCACTGTCTTCTATGTCTTCCTGTTTTTATTTTGCACTGTCTTCTACGTCTTCGTCTTCTTGTTTGCCACTGTCTTCTACGTCTTCCTCTTCTTATTGTCCACTGTCTTCTACGTCTTCTTATTATTATTGTCCACTGTCTTCTACGCCTTCCTCTTCTCATTGTCCACTGTCTTCTACGTCTTATTATTATTATTGTCCACTGTCTTCTACGTCTTCCTCTTCTTATTTTCCATTGTCTTCTACGTCTTCCTCTTCTTATTTTCCACTGTCTTCTACGTCTTCCTCTTCTTATTGTCCACTGTCTACTACGTCTTCCTCTTCTTATTGTCCACTGTCTTCTACGTCTTATTATTATTATTGTCCACTGTCTTCTACGTCTTCCTCTTCTTATTGTCCACTGTCTTCTACCTCTTATTATTATTATTGTCCACTGTCTTCTACGTCTCCCTCCTCTTATTTTCCACTGTCTTCTACGTCTTCCTCTTCTTATTGTCCACTGTCTTCTATGTCTTCCTCTTCTTATTTTGCACTGTCTTCTACGTCTTCCTCTTCTTATTTCCCACTGTCTTCTATGTCTTCCTGTTTTTATTTTGCACTGACTTCTACGTCTTCGTCTTCTTGTTTGCCACTGTCTTCTACGTCTTCCTCTTCTTATTGTCCACTGTCTCCTACGTCTTCTTATTATTATTGTCCACTGTCTTCTACGTCTTCCTCTTCTCATTGTCCACTGTCTTCTACGTCTTATTATTATTATTGTCCACTGTCTTCTACGTTTTCCTCCTCTTATTTTCCACTGTCTTCTACGTCTTCCTCTTCTTATTGTCCACTGTCTACTACGCCTTCCTCTTCTTATTGTCCACTGTCTTCTACGTCTTCCTCTTCTTATTGTCCACTGTCTTCTACGTCTTATTATTATTATTGTCCACTGTCTTCTACGTCTCCCTCCTCGTATTTTCCACTGTCTTCTACGTCTTCCTCTTCTTATTGTCCACTGTCTTCTATGTCTTCCTCTTCTTATTGTCCACTGTCTTCTACGTCTTATTATTATTATTGTCCACTGTCTTCTACGTCTCCCTCCTCTTATTTTCCACTGTCTTCTACGTCTTCCTCTTCTTATTGTCCACTGTCTTCTACGTCTTCCTCTTCTTATTGTCCACTGTCTTCTACGTCTTCCTCTTCTTATTGTCCACTGTCTACTACGCCTTCCTCTTCTTATTGTCCACTGTCTTCTACGTCTTCCTCTTCTTATTGTCCACTGTCTTCTACGTCTTATTATTATTATTGTCCACTGTCTTTACGTCTCCTCCTCTTATTTTCCACTGTCTTCTACGTCTTCCTCTTCTTATTGTCCACTGTCTTCTATGTCTTCCTCTTCTTATTGTCCACTGTCTACTACGCCTTCCTCTTCTTATTGTCCACTGTCTTTCGTCTTCCTCTTCTTATTGTCCACTGTCTTCTACGTCTTATTATTATTATTGTCCACTGTCTTCTACGTCTCCCCTCCTCTTATTGTCCACTGTCTACTACGCCTTCCTCTTCTTATTGTCCACTGTCTTCTACGTCTTCCTCTTCTTATTGTCCACTGTCTTCTACGTCTTATTATTATTATTGTCCACTGTCTTCTACGTCTCCCTCCTCTTATTGTCCACTGTCTACTACGCCTTCCTCCTCTTATTGTCCACTGTCTTCTACGTCTTCCTCTTCTTATTGTCCACTGTCTTTCGTCTTATTATTATTATAGTCCACTGTCTTCTACGTCTCCCTCCTCTTATTTTCCACTGTCTTCTACGTCTTCTTCTTCTTATTGTCCACTGTCTTCTATGTCTTCCTCTTCTTATTGTCCCTGTCTACGCCTTCCTCTTCTTATTGTCCACTGTCTTCTACGTCTTCCTCTTCTTATTGTCCACTGTCTTCTACGTCTTATTATTATTATTGTCCACTGTCTTCTACGTCTCCCTCCTCTTATTGTCCACTGTCTACTACGCCTTCCTCTTCTTATTGTCCACTGTCTTCTACGTCTTCCTCTTCTTATTGTCCACTGTCTTCTACGTCTTATTATTATTATTGTCCACTGTCTTCTACGTCTCCCTCCTCTTATTGTCCACTGTCTACTACGCCTTCCTCTTCTTATTGTCCACCGTCTTCTACGTCTTCCTCTTCTTATTGTCCACTGTCTTCTACGTCTTATTATTATTATTGTCCACTGTCTTCTACGTCTCCCTCCTCTTATTTTCCACTGTCTTCTACGTCTTCCTCTTCTTATTGTCCACTGTCTTCTATGTCTTCCTCTTCTTATTTTGCACTGTCTTCTACGTCTTCCTCTTCTTATTTGCCACTGTCTTCTACGTCTTCCTCTTCTTATTGTCCACTGTCTTCTACGTCTTATTATTATTATTGTCCACTGTCTTCTACGTTTTCCTCCTCTTATTTTCCACTGTCTTCTACGTCTTCCTCTTCTTATTGTCCACTGTCTACTACGCCTTCCTCTTCTTATTGTCCACTGTCTTCTACGTCTTCCTCTTCTTATTGTCCACTGTCTTCTACGTCTTATTATTATTATTGTCCACTGTCTTCTACGTCTTCCTCTTCTTATTTTCCATTGTCTTCTACGTCTTCCTCTTCTTATTGTCCACTGTCTTCTACGTCTTATTATTATTATTGTCCACTGTCTTCTACGTCTTCCTCTTCTTATTGTCCACTGTCTTCTACGTCTTATTATTATTATTGTCCACTGTCTTCTACGTCTTCCTCTTCTTATTGTCCACTGTCTTCTATGTCTTCCTCTTCTTATTTTGCACTGTCTTCTACGTCCTTCTCTTCTTATTGTCCACTGTTATCTACGTCTTCCTCTTCTTATTGTCCACTGTTTTCTACGTCTTATTATTATTATTTTCCACTGTCTTCTACGTCTTCCTCCTCTTATTGTCCACTGTCTTCTACGTCTTCCTCTTCTTATTGTCCACTGTCTTCTACGTCTTCCTCTTCTTATTGTCCACTGTCTTCTACGTCTTATTATTATTATTGTCCACTGTCTTCTACGTCTTCCTCCTCTTATTTTCCATTGTCTTCTACGTCTTCCTCTTCTTATTGTCCTGTCTACTACGCCTTCCTCTTCTTATTGTCCCTGTCTTCTACGTCTTCCTCTTCTTATTGTCCCTGTCTTCTACGTCTTATTATTATTATTGTCCACTGTCTTCTACGTCTTCCTCTTCTTATTTTCCATTGTCTTCTCGTCTTCCTCTTCTTATTGTCCACTGTCTTCTACGTCTTATTATTATTATTGTCCACTGTCTTCTACGTCTTCCTCTTCTTATTGTCCACTGTCTTCTACGTCTTATTATTATTATTGTCCACTGTCTTCTACGTCTCCCTCCTCTTATTTTCCCTGTCTTCTACGTCTTCCTCTTCTTATTGTCCACTGTCTTCTATGTCTTCCTCTTCTTATTTTGCACTGTCTTCTACGTCTTCCTCTTCTTATTTGCCCTGTCTTTCGTCTTCCTCTTCTTATTGTCCACTGTCTTCTACGTCTTATTATTATTATTGTCCACTGTCTTCTACGTCTCCCTCCTCTTATTTTCCACTGTCTTCTACGTCTTCCTCTTCTTATTGTCCACTGTCTTCTATGTCTTCTTCTTCTTACTTTGCACTGTCTTCTACGTCTTCCTCTTCTTATTTGCCACTGTCTTCTACGTCTTCCTCTTCTTATTGTCCACTGTCTTCTACGTCTTATTATTATTATTGTCCACTGTCTTCTACGTCTTCCTCCTCTTATTTTCCACTGTCTTCGTCTTCCTCTTCTTATTGTCCTGTCTACTACGCCTTCCTCTTCTTATTTCCCACTGTCTTCTATGTCTTCCTGTTTTATTTTCCACTGTCTACTACGCCTTCCTCTTCTTATTTCCACTGTCTTCTATGTCTTCCTGTTTTATTTTGCACTGTCTTTCGTCTTCCTCTTCTTATTTGCCACTGTCTTCGTCTTCCTCTTCTTATTGTCCCTGTCTTCTACGTCTATTTATTATTATTGTCCACTGTCTTCTACGTCTTCCTCCTCTTATTTTCCACTGTCTTCTCGTCTTCCTCTTCTTATTGTCCCTGTCTACTACGCCTTCCTCTTCTTATTTCCCTGTCTTTCGTCTTCCTCTTCTTATTGTCCACTGTCTTCTACGTCTTATTATTATTATTGTCCACTGTCTTCTACGTCTTCCTCTTCTTATTGTCCACTGTCTTCTACGTCTTCTTCTTATTATTGTCCACTGTCTTCTACGTCTTCTTATTATTATTGTCCACTGTCTTCTACGTCTTCCTCCTCTTATTTTCCACTGTCTTCTATGTCTTCCTCTTTTTATTTTGAACTGTCTTCTACGTCTTCCTCTTCTTGTTTGCCACTGTCTACTACGTCTTCTTCTTCTTATTGTCCACTGTCTTCTAAGTCTTCTTATTATTATTGTCCACTGTCTTCTACGTCTTCTTATTATTATTGTCCACTGTCTTCTACGTCTCCCTCCTCTTATTTTCCACTGTCTTCTACGTCTTCCTCTTCTTATTTCCCACTGTCTTCTATGTCTTCCTGTTTTTCTTTTCCACTGTCTTCTACGTCTTCCTCTTCTTATTTGCCACTGTCTTCTACGTCTTCCTCTTCTTATTGTCCACGGTCTTCTACGTCTTATTATTATTATTGTCCACTGTCTTCTACGTCTTCCTCTTCTTATTGTCCACTGTCTTCTACGTCTTCTTATTATTATTGTCCACTGTCTTCTACGTCTTCTTCTTATTATTGTCCACTGTCTTCTACGTCTTCCTCTTCTTATTTTGCACTGTCTTCTATGTCTTCCTCTTCTTGGTTTGTTTTTTGTGTTTAGTTTTCCTTCTTCTTCCCTTTGTGATTTCTTCGTCTTCTTGGTTTGTTTCTTTCTATGTTTCTTCCTATTGTCCATTATCTTATTTTTGTTGTCTTCAATTTACCATTTTAATTAGCAGCTATTTCAATTCCTCCATCCCGAACTTTATTTCCTCTCCACATCACCTTTCACTCCTTCATTCAATGACATTGGTTCTCTTCTTATCGTTTTCTGAATCTCTCTCTTTCACTACTTTGTCTTTATCTCTCATCTTCCTATTTTGTATTCTCCGTAAAAATATGATTGCATTAAACCATCACCCCCTTCCTCCTCCAACGATTCTTCCATCCATATTCTGTTGCTTTTGTTTCTTCCTTGGTCTTTTGTCATTTCTTTTACTTTTTCATTCTTCTTCTTCTTCTTTTCTTTTTCTTCTTCTTCTTTTTTCTTTCTTTCTTTCTTAAAAGGAAGAAGTGCATCTCTAATCTTTCAGCACATCTATTGTAAAGTTATCCCCGCCCAGAACAAATATCCTTTTCCTTGCTCAGCGCAGGTTTTAATCGGGTCGATGATTTCACCCACCGCTTGGGCTAAAATGAGTGTGAGCAACGTAGAGAAACAGAGTCAATGGGCGAGAGAGAAATAGAATGAGAGAACGAAAGGAGGAGGAAGGAGGATGAAGAGGTGAAAGAGTTGTATTGATAGAGAAACGGGCAGATAGGAGTTAGACTATATTCCCTAATGTTTTGCTTCAGTGAATCCCTTAGAGACGAGCGCACGCCTCGTGATTTCATTAGAATGATGTTTGACGTTCGAAACCAATAGTCGCCATCAGTCGCCTTTTCCTTCGCCCTGACCCTGCAAAAAAAAAAGTAAAAAAAAGAAAAAAGAAAAAAAAATCACCCTCTAGCTTTGGATTCTTTTGCAGAACGTGGAAAATGAGAAACGCTGGTACGGGAAGTTACGACTGCGCAAGCGCGGAGTTAAGAGGGAAGCAGTGGTTGGAAGTGAATGGATACGTGGAATTGCCTCTGGTATTAAATATCACTGCTTTACTAACGCTGAAATGACCTTTATAATCATCAGTACTATATTCATAATCACTATGATAACTACATCTCTAAGATTAACCGTTGTTTCTAGCTTATCATACTTGTTGTCATCGTTTTCATTGTCATATTTGTCATTAAAACTATTATCGATCCTTTTTTGCACGCTCGCCTACCATTTTGGCCATGGTTAGTAACGAAGACGAAAGGCTGTATTGAGTAGCATTGCTTACATGTAGAACGTGTTTGTTTACGTTAACTTGTTTTTTTCCTAAGGATTTTTTTTTTTTTTAGATTTTGCCACCAATGTTTTCTGTTACTTGGGAAATGGTAATTATTCTCGGAACAGCTACTCAGTTAACAAAAATCGAACGAGGCAACTCAAAAGTAAAAGAGGAAAATCTCCGTGGAGACTTTAAATGATAAGGCCCCTTATATAAAAAAAACTTAGCAGACACATCTAAAAAGAGAAACGAAATGTCCAATGATAACATTCTAGAAAAATTGAACCGAACTCTTCTTGCGTCGAGGTAAATATTAGCAAACACCAATTCTTACCTATGTGTATAAAATGAAACTTTCCTCTGAACGCACAACATTAATGAACACACAAAAATGAAACTAATAAATTCATTAATATTAAATTAAATACTACTAACTCTATAAAGTTATATGATAATTTACCTTTTTTACTGTAATGTCCTAATATATATATATATATATATATATATATATATATATATATATATATATACAGTGTAACCCGGATATAAGAGAGTTGTCGGGACCGGAGAAGAAGTCTCTTATATCCGGTTTCTCTTATATTCGGGTTTTGGTCTGTTTTATATACATTAACACAGGCTCTAATTTGGGACCAGAGAAAATCTCTCTTATATCCGGGTTTCTCTTATATCCGGGTTTCTTATATCCGGGTCTCTTATATCCGGGTTACACTGTATATATATTCAAGTATAGGATTTGTGTATACAGAATAAATTCCAATAACGAACAGATGCTATTCTTAAAAGAGTGCTCAATACAGAGTAGAATAATATTTTTTTATATATTATATATATATATATATATATATATATATATATATATATATATATATATATATATATATATATATATATATATCCAAATGTTTTGTATGTATATATGGCTATACTTTTAGCCATTATGATTTTATTTTTCTGAATGTATGGATTGTTTATGTATGTATCAATCCCTCATTCATGTATGCAAGTTTCATTAAATAAGACTGACAAGGTACTGCGGTTAAAGATTTTCCTATAATTTTTTATTGTGTTCTTATAATTATTTTTTTTCTGGACAAATTATGTTGGATAAAGTTTTGACCCTGGGTTTCCAAATGTTTTGTATGTCGAACGCTCTTGGCTCATCTTTAGCCATTATATAGATTTATTTATATTATAGGATATTTAGAGAGACTGAATGTAAATGGATAATTTTTACGTAGGAAATAGTTCTAGGGATTCTTTTATTTTTCTCAAACGTCAATCATCATATGATAAGCCGAATGAATCTATCAATATAATACCATTTGTTTATATAATTGGATGTTTTTTCTTGGCTTTTTTTTTTTTTATTAACAATGCTTCCATTATTTTCAGTCTGTTTTAATGATTTTCTGGGAATTTTAAATATATATTTGTATTGAACTTTAAACACGATAGAGTAAGGCTCTGTTTAGTTTGTAGGTCTTTATAGGTTTTTGGAATAAGAATTCTTTAGTTTATTTCCTTTGTTGTATATATATATATACGTTATTATATAAGCTTATAAAGAAAAAAAATTCCATTATTTAATGGTTATTTAAATAAAGTATATATACGTCTTCCAATTGGTGAATATGGGGTATGCAAAATATAAATATATTATGTTTTTATATAAAATAAAGTTTTTCCTGTATTTCAGTTATGCTGAGGCTCATTATTCTTTCAATAAAAGAACAAAGCCATTATCGTTCATCATTCTCATCATTATTAATATCCTATTGTATTTCTTCCTTCCTACGTTAGATAGCACGACCATCAAGCCCAGTTTTAAATAATGGACTATTCCGTTTTTGATTGTAGATAGACGGAAAATACATTTGGTTTTAACGACAAAATGAAAGAAAAAGGAAGGTTTGAGAGAGAATTAGATTGATCTGATAAGAACAGATACTACACTGAAACCAAAAAGGGTCAGAAACTATTTCAACCAAATATCAGACGCACAGTATCGGACGGAAATAGGCAGTCAAAATCCATATATAAAATATAATATCGTCTGTTGAATTATATATATATTAAGAGAAATTTTCGTAAGACGGGGAGAGAAGAGAGAGAAAGAAGGGAGATGGAAGAACAAATAAATAAAGGGCATTACGTTTTTGATTTTATAAATGCCATCCTGAGAAAATTAAAATGGGGAGACAGAAGTGTTTCTGTTTACGTAGGAAATTAAAATCTTTTAGTTCTTAAAATAAAGACAGGCATTCTGATGATTATTAAATATTTTTGTTTTTTTCTCAAATATTTAATCGTACAAGGGAATTTCTACATATGCTCTAATGTCACAGAATTACATCATTAGCTTTTTATAAAAGGAAGAATCATAAGCAAATAAAAACCGTGAAATGAATCTATCAATATATGTTGTTCGAATATTTTTTATTACCATTTTGTTTTTACTGAGTCTATCCATGGTTTCAGTTACCATTTTCAAGTATTTTGGATGTATTTTTTCGTGAGTATCGTCAGACCATTTTAATCATGGATTTATCGAGAAAATATTAACAAAATATATTAAATATAAATCTTTATTTGAAATATTTTCATGCAGGCACTTCAAACTTTGTACTTATTAGGAACTGAAAAACATATTATTTAGTAAGAAAATCATACTGAAAATTGTAATTAAAAATCTGGTACTATATACCCATGGTTATTGTTCTAGGGTTAATGCCATCAGAAATGTTGGTGGTGTATTTTATTCTTGACTGGTACTGGAATTTTACAAATAGTTTCAATTTCTATTTCTAGAGGACATAACATATCAAAGAATAAGAAGACAAAAAATAATTTTCTTCATCTTTGGTGGACTATGTCCCTTCAGGACGTCGCCGAACATGGCTCCCCACAGCTTCTTGTTTTTTTTGTTTGTTTTTTTTTTTTTCTGCTCTAAATAACTTTTAACTATTTACTACTCCTCTTTGTCCTTTTCTGATAAATTCGAGATTACTAAGGCTCTTCCAGGTTGCATGCTAACAGTGAATGAATCGACTTTTCTCTGTGGCCAGCAATCGCCAATCGTTTTCGGTAATAAAATATTTCAACCCAGAAAATTTTAACTTTACTATTTTTATAATGTCTTCTATCCAATGGGGTCGCCACCCACCACCACACTTCACTGTGGAGCCTTTTTGTACACGAAAGAGAACGCGATTGCATGACGTTCAATCAGCACCTTATTGAAAAACCTTTCATTATCTATCATTTCCACGCTAGCTCAGCCAATCAAAATCGACTTCCTTATTATGCCTGACATCTGACCCCGAAGGTCAACCTCCGGAAGTTGAGATACACTTCCTCCTAAAAATAAAAATAAAATAAAAAGTCTCCTAAACTATTATTTAACACACCAGACTCTCCTTCCTTGTTATACGTTTCACATATTTCTGGTTGTAATTATAAGTTCCATTGTCGATCCTGTTTTACTTAAAACTCTCTCATTGCTTATATGTTCTATCCATGGTATTCCTCGCATCCATCGATAGGACCATATATCTTTCACCTCAAGTTTCTCATCATATTTTCATTAATTCTTTCATGTGCGACGTAAGATAACGATTATCGGCGAGGGAAACAAGTTATCGGAAAACATAGAATAGATAGATAGATAGATAGATAGATAGATAGATAGATAGAAACAGATTGAGATAGATAGATACATACATACATACATACATAAATTCATACATATATATATATATATATATATATATATATATATATATACATACATGCATATATATAGATAATAGATGATAGATAGATACATAGATAGATAGATAGATAGATAGATAATGAACAGATTAAGATAAATATAAACAGATTGAGATAGATAGACAGATAGATAGATAGATAGATACATACATACATACATACATACATACATACATACATACATAGTTCTCTTCATGAGATCGCTAAAAACAGAGCATAGCATGAAAAAGACGCCAAACTTGACGAAGACAAAATTTATTACAATGTTTATGTTATTATTGAGGGGAAAGATCAAAGTACTTTTGGATTATTTAAAAAAAATTTTCCTTCTTTTTAGAACATTCTAAATTTTGATTAAAAACCTTGTTTCTCTTTGTGTCACCAGAACTAGTAAAATAA